AACAACTTTAAAATAATTTCGCCCAATTTCAGCTAATAACAAAAAGTAGTTTGGGCTTATAAAAAAATAATTTTTGCTCAAAGTATTTGGGCAATTTCGGCTACTAATAGAAGCAGTTTCGACCAGAAACCTTAGAAGTAACTATGACTATGTATGAAATATATTCTTTCAAATTCGAAATTAAATACCTGTGGAGTACACAATGCTCTAGATCTCAGGAAATATGACTGCTCCAAATGAGAGATCCAAGTAGACATTCAGTTAAGTGGTCTTGGAATATATTTCACATTTTGAATCCAATTTACCTGTAATAAAAAGTGAAGGAAAGTTTAACACACAATAATATCGAAATTACCTTGTATGGAACATCATCTATCCTGCCAATATCAAGAGTGATGGAACAATCTGTGGGAAAGGATGCTGGCATAGCACAGGATGCTCTAGAGATTTCAGATCACGTCCCAAAAAATTGTGCTCTATTTGTTACAAGCTAACCAACTCTCATACTAGAATATGTAGGATTCATAATGGAATTTATAAGCATGTCTGGCATGAAAGTAAAAAAACTGGCCGTGCCTGCTTTGCTGATATTTGTCTCAGTGCAGAGTGCCCCAATCCAACCAATGGACAAAGCTAAACATTATTTTTTGATTTAGATTTTTCAAATACTTAATATAGGACAATTTTTTTCCATACGGATTACTTTACAACATAATCTGCTTCTGCAATATAATTGGAATTGGAATTGGAGTCAGAGCTTGATTCTCTTCAATAACAGGATCATCTATTACATCAAGGAGTTCCTGAACCTTGTCGGCTGTCTTTGGCTTATATGGCAGAAGCATTGGTCCACCTTTATCTCCAAAACCAATACCCTTATATGGTCAGTGGTTAGTTTAGTATGAATACTCCCAAACTTGCTGTTCCTTATGTCCTATTTTTTTTTTTCATTTACTTTTTATGGTATACCCACAAAAACGTATAAATAGAACCTCTATCCTCCACTTTGGGCCAAAAAATTGATTCGTGAAAAAAAATACATATCTCTTATACCACATCTCTTATATCGCTATAAACAATGCATTTTCTAGGCGAACTGCCAGCTTTTTTAATTGTGGGAGGTGAGGCATGAAATGCCGAATTGGCAATCCGTATTTTGGCTTTATATGTTGCATTCGAATTCGAGGATGAGGCACAAAGTGCCGAAATAGCAATCTATATTTTGCCTTGCGCAACGTTTTTGATTTCCGGATTTGAGGCACATAGTGCAGAATTTCATTTATTTGGTAGAACGCAAAAGCAAAATTTTTCTTACTTTTCCTATATATAATTCTACCTTTGCGTCCTACCAAAAGTTTGCTAAAGTTTGCTATGTTTTGGATCTCTAGAAACCTTTCTCGCGTAGTCGATACTTTTGGGTACTACCGATTCGAAAGAAAATTGGGTCATACTTTGGTGTATTACTAGATCGAAAAATTTATTGCTTTTGCGTACTACTGATTCAAAAAATTTATTCTTACTTTTGCGTACTACCGAAAAAATCGAAAAATTTCGTGCTTTTGCGCCATAATTCCATCACACGAATTTTTATTTAAAGTTTTGAATTTTCTATGTAATTTATACCTCTTTGTTCCACTCACCTACCTAGTTATAAAGTGTCTATAACGTGCATTCGTATAATCCACTTCTGCTTCCGGATACGATCGCAACCCTCTCACAAGAGGAGGACGACGCTTCTCTTGAAACGATCTTGCTCAATCTTGTGATCTGCCAACTAAGTCTCAATGATTCTTTCAATAATCCAAAAGCTCATCTATGGAAGTGCAATCATTAATTGAGTTTCAGGATTTAACAGACCTTGATTACAAGCCTAGTAATACAAATCATTTTTACTTTCGAAATCTACTTCCGTCCGATAAGACAGGGAAAACTAATAATAAAGAAGACTATGATGACGATGTTTACAATAAAGGGTCATTTGAAAAAGATATTTCGCTTTTCGAAGCCTATCGTCCAGAAGTGATTAATTCTAAATATATATTTGGGTGGCAGAAAAAGGCTTTACAGTAATTGATCATCCTTCCGAAGTTTATGGAATGCCAGATGCACATGAATGTATTGACGGGAACTAGCCCCTTCGCTTAATTCTTGATATTGATGTGAGACAAAAACCCAATCCTACTAATCCTGAGCTTCCTTCTCTAGATGGTAAAAAAATTACTTGTGAAGATTTGATATTTCAGATTTTAGATGATTGTGCAGGTATAGTATATTCCGCATTTGGTTGTGTGGTATCATTAAGTAATTTCGCCTTGGCAAGTTCATCAGATGCAAATAAATGTAGCTGGCATATTATTTATCCTTATGCTTGATTTATTGATTATAGAGAACTTCAAAGTTTTACAAAAAAAGTTTCTGAAACAGTTGGTAAGCCATATTCCGAATTCATTGACATTGGACTTCCCAAGTCACGTTTTAGTCTATTACTTCTTGGATCAGCAAAAGAAGGCAGAGTTAAAAGACCTGCGATCTCTTCAGCTAAAAATAGATTTCACAAGTTAGAAGAT